TTCAAGACAACTGGTCTTTGCAACAAATAATTGCTTCATGTCAATTTATCAAAAGTCTGGTGGAAACTGAACTCCCTTTTAAGAATTAAATGCCCCAGATCCATAAAAGGCCAGTGTTTTTAAGAAAATAAAACTCGTTAGCACTGCATTATTTTTGGTTTGTTAAAACATATTTATCATCAACAATCAAATAAAACAAAACACTGAAGTCATCCATTTTGACTAAATTAGTGTTTTTCTTGCAGAATGTATTCTTAATTAAACCTTAACTAGTTTTCCTGTCACACATTAAGATGACCTCATATTTCACTCAAGTTTATAGTAGGAATAAATTCCAGTCTTCAAACAACTTTAAAATAAATATATCCTTTTTATTATAATTAAAATTTGTTTTATTTCAACCAACTTGGATATTGAACTTGGTTCATATGAAATTCTATTGTTCACCAAATTTGGCTTCACTTCTAGGCAGTGCTATGCTGTATGATTTCCTGGCATTGAGTGTCAATCTTTTGACAGACATGTTACCTCTTTAAATTCCAATCCCTGCTGTTGCTGTCTTGGCACATTCAATTCCAGTGAGTGTCTCTTGTTCTTCCATTCTACCATTGTGGCTTTGGGTACTGTTCCCCTGAGGCATCAAGCCTCTTCCATAAAACTCAGTATGTTGTTGCCTATTTTCCCAGTCACATTCAGTGCCCTAAAATGAGGAAAGAGCAAGCAAATGCCCACTGCTCTTAAATAGCCAAATATTTGAGAATTTGTGTGAGAGTCATAGTTAGTCATCTCTGCATGTTGTTTCCCCAAGTAACTGTTGCTCAGCCTAAGAAACTTTCTTTTTTGTCTGTATAGGGAAGGGGTTGAGGGAACATTGGAATAAGTTCCTTCCTTAGAAATATTTCTTGAAATATGCTTTCCATATTATAGTTACTGAATATTAAGGAATTATTATTTTAGAAAATAGAGACAACAAATGCGTTGGTCTCTTTTTTCTCCCATCTCCTCATATATATATATATATATATATACAAAATATATCTATATAAAACACAAAACATATATATATGTATATGTATAGATATATATACATATATCTACACTCACATATATATTCTATTTAACTCATATATATATTATATATTATATACTCATATATATATATTCTATTTAACTCATATATATACACACACACACACTTTTGATTGTTTTAAAACTTAATTTATTTAAGCATCATTGTTTATTTATGCACAATATAGAATTTCTCCCCCCAGGTACAGGCACTGTATTTTTCCCACCACCAAAGTGTCCACAGTCCTCCACCACCCTCCACTCACCTCTCCTCCCTGCCTATTCTCTACTCTCCTCCCTCTCCTCACCCCTCCCATCCTGTGTGTCTCTGAATATGGTCTACATTCAAAGGTCAATATTACAGTTTTGTGTGATTACATTGTTTTTAATACCAGCCACTTATTCTTTAGCCCAGTTACTGATTTTTACCTTGTTAGTGTAAGCACACACTATTTTACCAAGCTAGGCTATGGTATGGTTGATAATAAGAATAACATCTTCAAGAAAGTGAAAGAAAACACTTTCAATGAATATTTTTTGGTAGGCACTATTGTGTACATAATATATATATATATATATGTATATATACACATATATGTATATGTGTGTATATGTATATATATACACACACATAGAGTGAGTCATCCCAGTGCTATAAAATAGTTAGCAATTATTTTTCCCCAACAATGGGGAAAGATACTCAGCAATAAAAGAACATGTTCAAGTTCATATAGTGACTAAACAGTAGCAAAGTCAGCATTTGAATCCAGATATTTTTCTCCGATTGTATATTATAAACTATTAATTGTTATGTCATACTTTAGAGAATGTAATTGTCACATTTTATTTCTGGCTGGAAAGAGGTAACTGTAGACTGACTAGTAATCTACAATGTGTTTATGAAAAGGAAAACAAGGAAGTCTTTGGATATGTAAGTAGAGATTATTTAGTCTATGGTGCTTTCCATTATATTTTTATTTGTTCCCAACATGAAACAACCTGAATGGAATTTTCCAATATGAAATATCTTCATATATACATTTTAACAAAGATTTTTAATATTTTCCTACTTTAATTATTTTTCATATTCTGATGGCTATTAGACAGAATTGTAGTTTTCAAGAGTTGATGTTCATACAATCAAATGTACACTATTAGAACAAAGTAGCCAGTGATTTGCTTTTAAATTTTCAGAATTTAAAGCTGCAAAAATTTGATACTAAAATATATGTGAAATTCTCAAAATTTCGACACTTTTATGGTCTGTTTAGCTATTTTTAGTATTAGGATAATCAGAGAAATTAATGTCATCTTCAATAAAACTATGTTTATTGGAAAAAGAATCTGTTAATAAGATTGCACATATAGTTCTTCAATGCATTATATCAATATGTAAATAAGTCTTTTATGTATTACTTTACATGTTTTGAATTTCTCTTGTGCTTTTTTTCTTTCAGCATTGTCTATCTAAAAAAATAACAACAATGCATCCTTATATAAGCAAGTTTCAGGGCAAATGTTTCTTCATTAAATGTTTCTATCTGTTTTTCCACAATTCAAACATATGCTATTAGAGGCCCATAGTCCTGGAGATTTTTAATTTTACTAAAATATAAAAGAAATAAGTTCTGCTCATTTAATAAAAAGGTTGGAATTACTAGGGTTGTATTTTTAGATTATGATATTTGCCTCCAATCAGATTTCTTTTACTTTTTCATGATGATATCTCAATAACTTAGTGTAAATGTTTTAAAATATTTAGTTAGCAATAGAATTCTGTCATTTAACAACCTATAGCAATGTTGTAAGATACTTTTTATTTTATTTCAAACTGTAGTGACTTCTGCATGTTATTTTCACTATATGGTTATCCCAAAATATTTTTAATTTCTATTATTTATTTATTTTTAATGTACTAAATTGTGATAATTTTTGTTAGCTTTTATTGTGATAAAATTAATTTGCAACACTGTAAAATCATTACATAAAAGGACTGTGAAGGCACTGAAAAATTCCATATTTCTTAAAGCAATGTTAGAAGAACCATCATTTCAATGATTTTCATAAAGGCTTTTGGGCATCAAGTCTTTCCTACCAAGCCATAATTATAATATCGATTTCTTTCTCTCCCCTTCCTTTATTTATTTGTTATTGAGGCAGCATGTATTTAATGCTGTATATATAATTCAGAGGTATGAATCGTGCCTTAGGTGTAGAATCATACACAGATGGCCGGCCAACAGGCACAAGAAAAAAATGGTCATTATTAGTTATTATCAAGGAAATGCAAAACCAAACCACAGTACAATACCATTTTATACCCATGAAATGGTCCACATTAAGGAAGTGTTGACAAGGATGTGGAGAAAAACAATCTTTCTACTTTAGTGTAGACTGGCCCATCCCCTATGAAAAACAGTAGGGGTTTCTCAAAATATCAAAATTAGACCTGACCTGTGATTCCAGCAATTCTACTTTTAGGTCTACCCCGTGAATACAAAAAACACTAATTCTAAGAGATGCATACATATCTATATGAATTGTAGCACAGTTTTCAAGAGACACATTATGTAAACAATGCAAATGCCCAAATATAGAAGAGTAGATCAGAAAAATGAGGTGCATATATACAATGGAATGTTACTCAACTATAAATAAACACACACACACACAAATCCCCTACTCTTTTCAAGTAAATGTATGTGTGGAAATGGAAAGGATAATGCTAAGTAAAACACGTCAGAAGGAGAAAGACAAAATTCAGATGGTTTCACTCGTATGTGAAGTACAGAGAAACAAAACAAAGGGACAGACAAAACCATACTGGTAGCAGTCCCTTGCTATTTTACTGCAAAACTGAGGCAACCAGAAGAGGAGAGATTGGGGGAGGAAGATCAGTGCAGTATGTTGGAGAATTTAGGGGCTGTTGGTGTTGGGCATGGTGTGAGAAAGAGCTGGGGCTTTAAATGTTTCTAATGTCAATTGACTTCATACAAAGCTATAACTTTGATATAAATACTTCTGAATGTGTTAGTTCAAAATACAGAATAATGTAGTTTTATTTAGTGATGCATATTTAGGTGGACACTCCAGTATAAGAGAAAAAAGTAATATATTTGAACATATTTTTGAGTAGTTCCTATTTTGAGTTTTTGAGTATCTGTGATATAACATTTTTATTATATGAATATTTTCTGTGTATATTTTAATATGAACGATCACAAATGATTTATTTTCACTAGGAAGATTCTAATAATCCAAATAGAGTTGTGAGAGTCACAGTTTGATGCCTATATTGAATTCTTATTTGTTTGTTCCTATATTTTAAGGCAATGATTTTAAGAAGCACTGCTTAGATCTTTGTGAATGTACAGACCAGGGAGAAGTTTTGGGACTGAATTAAAATGAGATGATTTTGATACTCTTTTCAGATCAAAACCATGATGCCTGTTTGCTAAAAGACTCATGGCCTTTGCATTTATTTGTACTGGATTGTATTCAGGTTAAAAATTGTATTATTTTACTTGTAGTTGATGGAAAAGTGAAACAACTAACCATCCTCACCAAGAAAATGCAGAACTAATGAATCAGCTGCAATAGTTATGCATGAAATGACAAAAATAAATTGTGATTGTCAACATTAAGAGGAAGAAGATTTTGTTTAACTTTAATCTCACTTATTTTGGAACAATATTTTAGTGATACATAAATGTTAACTTTCCTGTGTATGTGTAGCAATTTGAATACAGCTCTATAGGTTTTTACGGTATAATTAATATGTAACCACTGAGTGGCTTAAGTTTGGTTAATATAATATGACTTTGTCCAAATATATCAAATTTAGTTTTAATTGTTTCACTCTAGAGCATACTGTTTAATTTTAGTTCTAGTAAGTCTAAATAGTTGCATGTTCTTTTGTTTATTTCTTTTAGCATCTCCGTCAATTAAACTCTTGGTGGATGATCCTATAGTTGTAAATCCTGGAGAGGCCATAACATTAGTGTGTGTTACAACAGGAGGGGAGCCTGCACCCTCTCTTACCTGGGTCAGGTCCTTTGGGACTCTCCCGGAAAAGACTGTATTGAATGGAGGGACATTGACCATACCTGCCATCACTTCTGAAGATGCTGGTACTTATAGTTGCATTGCCAATAATAATGTGGGTAACCCTGCTAAAAAGTCTACCAACATCATTGTAAGAGGTAAGTTTCCCTGGAGAACTCTGGTCCCTGGGTTAGCCAGGTGATCACAAAGCTAATAATGTTTGATATAAAACTACTGTTTTGATATAAAACAATATATGTTACATATATATTACAATATTTGTAACACATAGAAAATTATTTATAAGCTATGAATGATGTTTAATAATAAGTGAAACCTTAAGTTCCTAGATCTTAGTAATAATGCTTTATGTTGGCATTGGCTAGTTTTTAGAATGGATTCTTAGTGATATCACTGGATAATTTTATAATATCTCAATAAAAAGAGTAATTAAAATTCAAGTGTGGTATAGTATTGTACACATCATTACACAGATGGTATATAACTTCAGGAATTTTACAAATGCATGATTTAATATTTTATAAACATTTATTAATCTCTGCTACACCGGAGATTTAAATTATGGGGTTATATAGGTATGCCAATTAAAAGCCACATAATAAAGTTTGTGGAAATTTTAAGAATAAGTTATAGAAATTTGTAAAAATGTAGTAACTTTTGACTGAGGTTAGTAAAATACCTAAGGAAAATTGCACTGAATCTTTTGGTTTGGGTAGAGTTTTAACAAATTATATTAGGGAAAGAGATGGAAATATTAAAGGCCAAATATATATATATATATATATATATATTTATATATATATATATATTTTTAAAGATTTATTTATTTACTTTTGCATAGAACAACTGAGGTGCAGGCCAGAAGTGCAGGGGCTGAGAGGATTCCCCAGAGACAGAGTGGGGAGCAGAACAGGCAGATCTACGAAGTACACTGCTGAGGGAAGCAGCGGGCGGGCCAGGAGAGGTCTGGCTTGCCATGTGGTCTCCTCCGGGGCAGGCGGCAGGCGGGAATCGAACTCATGTGGAAGTGGCTTCAGATTCTCAGTGCTTTGCTTTAACCCGCTGCGCCACCAGGGAGGGCCAAAGGCCAAATATATTTTAAGGAATTGACATAAAATATTGTCACTGAGGCTACAATAGCCATGATGTTGTGGTGTGACTTCCACCTGTTGACATGCTATTGATATGTGTTAAGAAAATGTTTTCCCTAAATTTTAAAGTTACAACTCAGGGTCAACATCTGCTTGTTCATATCTCATGTCATCCTTGGTTGGGGTTGAGGATGGACAGAGATGCTTCTGTTGTCCAAATAGATATCCACCCAGACTCAGCAGGCCTATGGATGGAACTTTTAAATGTAATCAAACCATAACTAAGTGTATAGAGTTTAGTATTTATGATTTTGTGAACATAGTGGTTTTAGTGGTCATAGCTACATTATCCAAATTATCAAAGATAAGGTACTTGACAAAAATATTCCACTCAAAGTATTACAAGATATTACAGTCTGAAAACACTATGAGTGGAGTACTCTCTGCCATGAAATTAAAGGCATAGAATATTGAGTAATTGCAAGATGCACTATTAATGTATCAGTACCAAGGTAAAAACACATAATGCCAATTAAGCTATCACTGAGTTTTCTTATGAGATAGAATGTTACTGAAAGAACTCATTCAGATTTGTTTATGATTAGGTCTTCTTTTAAAGTATATGTCATCCATTAACATATATAAAAAAAGAACGAGATGTAAGTTGATTAAATGATTACAAATACTTCACACTCAAAACCAGTCAAGGTTAAATTGGTTTTCATCCCAGTCTATGAGGCCCTGGCTTTCTACACAATGCCCTTCTTTGTCACTCAGAACATTTTCATAAAGCCAGCTCTCTGTTGTATCTGACAGCAACTGTTAGAGACTACTGAATGGGACATGCAGCCTCATTTTAGTTATGTTAAAATGTGAATGCAAATAAGGATTTTTAAAGTTAATGAAATGTGATCTTTTCAGTTTTTAAGAGATATCCAATGGACCAAAATCATATGCTAATGACAGAAAGGGAGTCACAATGGCTAAAACTATAGTCTCAAAGGAGTTTACAATTCTATAAGGAAGATAAGAGTGAAAATTAATATCTGGAAGTAAATAAAAAAAACAGTGCTCACAAATGGATATTTTTTAACCTTCCTTTTATAAATACTAGTATTGGAAAATGAGACTCCTTTAAACTCATTGCTTTAGATAACTCCTCCAAATTTAATAAGTGTCATTGTTTACTGTTTCTGCTTTTTATTACTTGCTTTTTAAATGATTGTTTCACCAGATGGCAATAAGTTAATACTACCAAATCTTCTAACTGGGAGATTTGCTAAAGTATTGCAGAACCTATCCTTAAGAGTCATGGATGTAATGTAGAATCTTATATTATTTTATCAAGGACAGGCCTCGCTAGAGAAAAAAAGATGTATTAAATCTAGTTTGACGGTAAAATCAACTACAAGTATATTAAATCCATGTACAACTGTCGAAATGTCCAGCATGAAATGTCTGTGTTGCTCAGGTGCCTCTGTAACTCAGGTCACAGAAATACATGCCAGAGAGCAGTTTACTCTTCCCCACCTATCGGGCAGTTTTCATCTGCATCTTTTAAGAGACAGTGTACTACTTTGATACAAATGATCCAAAATAAATTAAACCTTAAAAATATCCCCAAATTATATTTCTTTTTTATGCCTTTAATTTATCTGGCGTCCATTTGCATCATAATATTAGATTATGCTGGAGCTTCTCAGCACTGCCATTCACATAATTCATACAATCAAATTTGTATATATTCTCACCCAATATAGCAGTAGCCAAGGTTAATGTGTCCCAGATTTAACTGTGGGGAGAAAAACTACTGCAATAATATGACACATCTGATTTCTGCAACAGAGGCCAAGAAATTCAGTAAAAAACGGTTTTCTTTTTATTATATCAAAGAAATTATTTTCAAGTCTTCTGCAATTGTAGCTATTGCAGTATCTTAGATTGACTGTATCATTGGCACAGCACTCTAGGTTTATTCCCCCTTACTTTCTTTTCTGTAATTAAATCAGGCTCCACAGACAGATTTTTCTGAGTAAGCACAAGGATATTTTGTGCAGATAAGTCCTGTTACTATTTGAGAATATCTACAGACAAAATAAGAACCTACAGTGCAGAGGAGATTAAAACTCTAGAAACAGGCCCTCCCTGGTGGCGCAGTGGGTTAAAGTGCTGCACTAAGCTGAAGCCACTTACACATGAGTTCGATCCCCACCTGCCCCTGAAGTGACCACATGGCGCGGCAGACCTCTCCTGACCTGCCCTCTGCTCCCCTCAGCGGTGTACTTCCTCGATCTGCCTGTTCTGCTCCCTACTCTGAAGCCTCTCACCACCCCTGAGCCTCTGGCCTGTACCCCAGTTCTGTATGTACAAATAAATAAATCTTAAAAAAAAAAAAATTCTAGAAACATTTCCAAATTCATTGCTTAATTTTGTTTATATATATAATTGTATATATTTTTGTCTTTTATATATTCATATAGCTATACACCTGTATATGATTTTATATATAAACAGATGATATACATGTATGTTTTTAAATAGAATATTCTTAAAATAATGTACATCATTGTGTAGAACTCCCCTTATGGGAAAATAAAGTTCAACGTTGAAGAAGAATTTAATTTTAATACTTTGTTAGAACATTTCTAGTGTAGTTAGTAGTGCCTTTTCTTTTAATCATTTTAAAAATTGCAATGATTAAGTCACTATCTCCCAAGTCAGGAGAGAAGCATTTGCTTAACACATTAAATATGGTGTTAGGTAACCTGAACTCAGTGCCTTCCAAGTCCTCTGTTAGATATTTATTCTCATCTGAAGTTCTCTGTTGTGATTAACTATACTTAGAAATGCCCACACTTCTCTTCTGTAGTGAATTGAGACACTTTTTGAACAAGCATGGTTCATAACATGATCAAAACATCATTGTATTTTAGTGTCTTTGTTCTCTCTAAAATCTTAGTGAGTTGATCTTCCCTGCTTCAAAAATAACAGTCAGGCAGACCCCATGACACTTCTGCTCATTCTTAAAAATAGAAAATCCTGTAGTTAGTTTCAAATCACAAACACATATTAAATTCAGGTGTTTGGGTGCATGATCCAAAAGAATAATAAAAATCCAAACCTGATTTATACAACATATTTCTTCACTTTAGCTTGAGTTGATTTGGGTTGGAGACCGTCAGTGAGAAAGAGTGGTGTTATATGTTTGACATCTTCCTCTTTCTCTGACTTATCCATCCACATCTCTACCTGTCTCCTCTCTGACCCTCTTGTCTTGGGATAGGGCAGGGAAGTCACTGTGTAAAATGGTCATGTCTTTTTCTTATGTGGACCAATATTTGGTTCTTGGGAGATCCTTCTATATACAGGAGCTAAAGGTACATTGGTGTAAATGAAGGAATGTCCAGAGAGTCCATTAATATTCATGTTCCCTGAGCATCTTGGGCCAACTTCTGTCCCAACTTCTGTTGAGGTTCTTTCTCTCCCCTGCAGGTAAACACTAAACAGAGTGAAGACTAGTTCATGCTACCTCTTCTTCCCTGTGTGATTCACACTTCTTCCCTTTGTGATTCACATCTTTAAGTGAAAATGCTAATCAGTAAACTTAGTAAAAGCACACAAATCCCAATGTAGCTCTTCTCTTGCTACAAAGGTTTTAGATTCCTCTGATTGGTCAGATACCATTTCAAGGGCATTTTTAGAGTTCTGACTGATCCATGCCAAGCTCTTCAGGAAGATTGAAGCAAACAAATAAGCTCTCCTTGTGTCACTTTGCACTTGGAAGAAACTGTATTTCACAGCTTTCTCCAAAGATAGTATTACATGTGGTCTCTGACCTTTTTCTATACTTAATTGTCTATGAAGTATAAGAATCATAGAATAGAGGGCTTTTTAAAAAAATATCCTTTGAAAATTTTGCGTTATAAAGATCGGCTTTGCACTCATTGAAGAATCTTGTCAAGATTATTTTCTGTCTAAAGTGAGTAAGGAAATGTTTGTTTTATCATTTAGTTTCACAAGAATATAGAATGGCCAGAAAAATATCT